CTATACACTAGAAATGCTTCTAAAAAAAGTTGAATAGATCATGAAATAATAGATGCATTTAGACAAGATGCATTACAATTTCTACAACATTCTAATGTTACACTATCGTCCGATAACAATAGAATAGAATGTTTATCAAATAACAATTGATTACGGCAACAATTGTTAATAATTTGCCCGAATGTTTCTAAAACATCCGTTCATCATATCCAAACATGACATTGTTGATATTGCATTGAAGGTTCAAATATGACAGTTTAAAGCCAAATAATTTGATATAGATGTTATTAAACTACTGGCACTTTCTAAAAGGCAATATTAACAGGATAAATTCTGTCTGTGTACGGCGATGATAAAAGCATAAATGGTATAGTACTCGTAGTTCTAAAACTTTGATTAGGTAATTTATAAAAGGTTTTATGTTAGACGATTATGTTTTATTTCAACGAAACATCCATCCATAATAATAATTTTATCAGATGGAGACTTTGTACAAAAGTTGTTTGCTTGGGTACCTCTGTTCCATTCGTGTTTACTGAAAAACAGTTGTGTCTGCATGGCTTTGTTTCGGTTTGGAGGGTGGGATACGGCAGTGAATTTTCAGGGTACAGAGGAACAACACCTGAGTTCTCAGGAATTGCAACGCATGGGGGTATCATGGGTGAAACAGTATACTCTGTTATGTTCATGATACTGCACATGTCTATAGGCGACGGTTACCGCTTTCCATCAAGTGGGCCGTCAGCTTGTTTGCCATTCTAAGTTGTATAAAAAAAAATTATGAGTTTGTAGATTGTTGAGTGAACCACTTTCCAGGTTACACAGCTGGAAAATGACCTCTATTTAAAAAGAGATGCATAAGACAGGGACAAGCGATGTAAGCGTATGACGTCACATACTCAGACGCAGTCCCGGAACGGCAACGTCGGACCAAATGTTTTGTAAATAGAATCTTCGAAGTCGATTGTTGAACGAGAGGTTGGAAATTGGTATACAAGAAAGAAAGAGAAAGAATCACAAGACCACAAAAACAACATAAATTGAACTTTCTTGAGGGGAATTGCGGGATTTCATTTATTGTAAGATTATTCTAGCGGAAGATTTTTTACACGATCGTATATGAATTGTTTTATAAAGAATTGCTCAGAAACATGATATTTTTAATTTTGTTTATTCCATATAATTAATAGAATTGACGCTTGATTTTCGTAGCCATCGGAATAAAGTTCGACAGTTTATTTTTAATTTGCTTGGTGTATTGAACTACAAAATTGAATGTACTAAGTTCGCCGAAGTTTGTTCAATCTTGAGGGGATTAAAATCAACAAAAAAAAAATCTTGTATAAAAGTTACTTAAATAACAGTTTAACTTATTGTAAGACGGGCAGGAAGGTAGATACCTACTTTATAGTTTTTGTATCGACGATATAATTTCAAAAATACAGGAAAATCTTATTTTTCTAAGAAAAAAAAATCTTAATCATTAATAGATACTATTTATGCAGTTGTTACGCAATATCTTCGAAAATTCTGATCCGATTTTGATAATTATTTATGCAAGTGCTAGAGTTAGTTCTCAAGTCGGTCCCTGTTACACTCGAAGTAGGTACAAATTTGTTTTTTTTTTTTTAATAATAATTTTAATGTTTTAAAGACCAATCTTTGTTAGTTTTATGCAATCACATTCCATTTACGTTCAGTTAATGTTTTGGTTCGATACCTTTAAATTAACTATATATTTTTTAATTTTCATTTGTTTCATTACGCTGCCAGTCGTGCTATATAAAAGTTAACCCTTTTAAATCTGTCTAAATAAATTATTCATAATGTTATATTTTTATTTTATGCTAAAGAAGGCAAAGACCTTTCATATCCTACCTTAATTATAGGTAGGTCTCATTTACAAAACAAATTTCTTCTTTTATACATAACTAGCTGAAGAACGCACGGAGGGTATCATGGTCGACACAGTATACTCTGTTATGTCCATGGTATTGTTCATGTTTATAGGCGACGGTTACCACTTACCATCAAGCGAGCTGTTCTTGTATATAAAAAAAAAAAAAAAAAACTAAATGTAAACGACAAAGGCTCGATTTAGCAATGAGCACGACTTTTGAATTTTTACAGATCGTATGTAATTAATTAATATAAAGAGTTGTTTGATATGTATCGTAGCTAGGACATTCAGGATTCAAAGACATGCCTACAGCCACATTTCATCATCGTACTGCTCTCCATCGGCAGGGAATCCATCCTCACACCTTACAACCAGAATGGTCTTGCATCGTGCGGTTTCAAAGGAGCTTCCTTCCGCGAACAGTCAGGTTGTGCAATAATCTTCCTGCTGGGGCTTTCGCTAGAGACTACAGCATGGGATTCTTCAAAAACCCTTTTTGAAGAGTCTTATTATAGACTTCTTAAAGTTTCTTAAAAGTCGGCAACGTGCGCGCGACATCCCTCGTGTTACAGGCGTCCATAGGCCTGATGGTAACCGCGTTTACCATCAGACGGGCTATATGCTTGTTTGACACCATAGTTATATAAAAATTTTAATCTGATTTATAAATAAACCAATTACTACAGACAAAATTACTGTCTAGTTAGTTAAAATCGTCAAGCTTGTTCGAAAGCAGAAATAAATTCCACTTAATTTTGTTATATCCAATGTTTATAGCGAGTTGGGTAAAATGTTAAACATTTATTAATACGGGAGCGATATAAAGTACGAAATTTTAATAAATAAATAAGTCGAAGGCGGCACGGGGTGGCATCGAAATCCACCCGGGGTCGTTGACCCATCGACCGCCCCCCTCCCGTTGGCATGCACCCCCATCCCCCATAGCCCCCTACGACGTAGATATCGAACTTTCGCGGATACAATGTGTCTTAAAATTAGAAATGTACATAAAAATGCAATAGGCTATTGTAACTAAGAATGACAAAATTACAGAAATGTACCGAAATTTTTTATTATGATTATTTTTTTTATTCGTTATAATGTATGCGTGGATTTCAGAAGTAGAAAAACGAATTAAATAAACCAATTTTTTTATGGCTTATTAAGATAAAACACACAAACACGTTTTTAAGTTAGATCTTTAGGAACACAACATTGAAAATCGCATCCAATATGGTGCAGTAGTTTTTGTGTGATGGTGAAACAAACATACAGGCAGATTGACAGACAATATTTTTAAAAATATTGTTTCGCTTTTTATTGCTCTTATGACCATCGCTCATGTTATTTTTTTTTTATATTTCTGATATAAAGACACTTAAAATTTTATTACATATAAGTTTTGCATAAAGAGAATATCTAACTGTACTTCAAAAACGATTCTCAATAATTGAGAGTCGTAAGAGATGTCAGAAAGAACCAGAGGGAGACTGTACAAAAATTGTTTGTTTGGGTAACTATGTCCTATTCGTGTTTCTCCCATGAAGCACTTTTTATACCTAAGTCTAAAGATACAGAATACCTTAACCCTTAAAAGCCTGATTTTTTATATCAAATTAAAAATATATAAGTGCACCCTTTACTGTGTTTACTAACGGGGAAAAATAGTAAAAAAATCAAAACGATATTTTTATATATTTATTTTGAAAAAAAAAAACATTTGGTAACATGTAAACAGCCAAATATTAAAATAAAATCGATTGTAGGCGCCCAATGCGATTTATAACCTCGGTATCAAATTTGAAACTTCAGGTATTTAAGGATTAAAATATTCTTTGTAATAATGTCAAGTAAGTAGAGTATTCAATGCGATACCAACGCCCCTATTCCTTACATCATCATCATCATATGGGGCCTTAAACGTCCACTGCTGAATATGGGGAGGTTTGCCAGTAATTGTCATGCTTGGCAGGCGGATTGACAATCGCAGTCAGGCTTTAGAGATGTTTTAGGAGGGACGCTGCTGCCCATCCCTCGCCCTCCTTAGTCGCCTCTTACGACACCCACGTTAACTGTCAACTGCTAAACATAATAACGTGATCTTTCTTCTTTATATATAATAAATTAAACATTATTCTATTAATGTCATATATGTTAAAGTTTGTAATGATGTATGTGGATGGATAGATAGATGAATGTATGTTACGCCTTCACGCAATAAATACTTGTTTTTTACACAACTTAGAATGGCAAACAAGCTGAAGGCCCACCTAATGGAAAGTGGTAACCGTCACCTATAGACATGAGCAGTACCATGGACATAACAGAGTATACTGTTTCGTCCATGATACCCCCCATGCGTTGCCATTCCTGAGGACTCAGGTGTTATTCCTCTGTACCCAGTAAATTCACGCCATATCCCATCAAACCGAAACACAGCCATGCAAACACAACTGCTTCACGGTTGAAACACGAATGGGACAGAGGTACCCAAGCAATCGACTTTTGTACAAAGTCTCTATGTGGTAATTGGTATCACTATCACATTGCAGTTTATCTTCGAGTTTACTAATTTTGCCTTTCGTAATTTACGGAAAATTTGATTGGTTTATTACTTTTTTTTTCTTAAGTCTAATTTAATACTTAATCAGATAGTAGCCAGTACGTTTTTAATAAGTGGCATATATATCTAAATATAAACATGAATAATGTGCAGTACTTGTTTATCTTTTTAAAGTAAAATATTCAATTCACAATTTCACGCACAAACTAAACGCAACGTTCAGTCATAATTAAATAAGTTTAATTAAAACTGTTTATATAGTTCAATACGAGAACAATGCTGATTAAATATCAATGCAAATATTAATAAAAGTTAAAAGTAAATAATGGCGAGCAGAAAAAAAAATTAAGAATACAGTTTATAATATATTCAAAAATGCAGAATTAAAAAGAAAAAAATGTTTAGAATACGTCAGTTGTCATTAAAAAGTTAGATATGAAAAAAAAAGCATAAAAAAAGTTAGGTAAGGTATTAAATGCAGAGGCAAGTTAATTAACAAGACAAGCGAACGGTTAGGTAGGATCTATTCATATTTACCTTGATGTCTTGTAAGACCTGTAAACAATTAAATGAAAATTAGTGAGTTTTGTAAACTAAAACTTACACTAAAACTAAAGTGTAAACTACAATTTAAGACTGTGTTCTATACAACCAGTTATTTCGGTTTAAACACTAAACTATTTAACCGATTTTGTAAACATTTGTATGGGATTATGTGTAAAAGATAATAAAAGGATTTTCCAAATCCTTCTATATTGTAGAGATTCAGCAGAAGTGGAGTTAAAAATAAATAATTATGTTACAGAACTATTTATTTATTTATGTAATAAACAGTTTGTTCATTTTTGACACTTGAACGACTCAATCAAGTGTCATAAAAAAGTTTTACACTCGTAAGCAGTATGAAGCATGAAATGGAAAATTACATATATAATATTCTTCCAGTCACGCAGAAATTCCGGGAACAGATAACTTTTATCTGAGGTTTCTATGTAAAATATTTTATTCTCTTATTTCCAATAATATTTCTAAAAAATATCTCGGTGTTTCTGGATTTGATAAGCCCTGACCGCGGTATTGGTGTTATCGGCCGGATACGCTAGTTGTCGAGCCGGGTAGATAAAAAACAAGGATAACCGATACCCGGTTTCTTTTTACTTGTTGTAGGTCAGGACTCAGATTTTCTGTAAAACTATCGGTCGATACGTTATACTTAAATGTTTATTAATACAATTTATTATGTGGTACTCAATGTTACTATTGCTTAGATACTAATCTCTGAGTTTACTAATTTACGAAAAATTTGGTTGGATTATTTTTTTTTAATATAATTTAATACCTAATCAGATAGTAGCCAGTACGCTTTTTCTAAGTGGATATAAATTGATAAAGTATTTACATCTTTGTATCATTACCATACTATTATGTATATTCAGATTTATATTTGAAAATTTAATTATTATGTACAATTTTTTATTCAACTTTCCTTTCAATATAAATTTATACAAAATATACGAAAATATTTAACTAAATGTAATCTTAAACCTTACCGTTAAAGATCTCTTTCCCTAGCGCTTACTTGAGGTAAATTTAAACTTGCAATAAGCAGAAACAAAAGAGAAGTTATTAAACATCCATATATTGACTAGTGCGTACTTTATTTTCTACCGTGACTCACTTGGGTATGTTTATAGTATGCTCGATGAATCATAAAGTATTACGATTATTACGGCCGGTATGATTTTAAAATATAAATTACCGTTGTATGATATATTCCCTGTGATTTCGTCTTTTTTAAAATACTAGATTTTGAATCTGGGACCTAGGATTTTTGGGAAATACTTTCATAGCGATGAAAAGGAATCCCATTCCTGTTTTTACCGTGAAGCAGTTATGTTTACATGGCTGTGTTTCGGTTTGAAGGGTGGGATATGGCGTGAATTTACTGGGTACAGAGGAATAACACCTGAGTCCTCAGGAATGGTAACGCATGGGGGGTATCATGGGCGAAACAGTATACTCTGTTATGTCCATGCTACTACTCATGTCTATAGGCGACGGTTACCACTTTCCATCAGGTGGACCGTCAGCTTGTTTGCCATTCTAAGTTGTATAAAAAAAAATGTAAAAAATTTCAAATTTCGGTATGTAGTGGTGATGTATCAGTCTGTCTTTTTGTATTTACCCAATATAGTGTCCTGTTCGTCCGACTGTTACGGTGTAAGAAAGACTCTGTTTTTCGCACTTAGCCTCTTATTTGGGCCGTTGTGCGTAAACTGTTACGTACGTGACTGTTACGGTGATTTGCATAAAGTACTCGCGATACAAATTAAAACTTTTGAATTTGAAAAAGTTTTGTAATTTAAATTAAATTTTTTTTCGTTTATTATTGAAAAAAATAATAATAATGTAGACTCAAAAAAAAAACGGAGATCCTTACGAACATAACAATAGAAAAAGGTATAAATTTGGCTATTAATATAAGAAAAATTTTGCTACTTCAACCTATCGACCCGTGCAAAGCCAGGGTGGATCACTAGTAATTGATATACGCGTATTGATAAAGATTTTACATGTTTATGTGTACCGAAAATATGAACTCAGAACAAAGTAAAGCGAAACTGTTTGACCTCAGGAAAATAGCTGATCCAGCACTAGCTGGAAGCTAAGATATCTCGAGGGTCGCCGACCGCAGCCCAGGGACTGACCCCACTGTAATCTACAGTGGAAAGTCGAATCGGACAGATATAACCGGTTAGGGGTAGGTCGGGGATGTTTACGGACTGTTTACGTTGAAAACTTGAAATATCACTTACGTCATGAGTAGGTTCTTTATTTTTTTTACCACGTGAATTAAGGTCACACGTCAATATATTTTTTCAAAACCAACACGAAGGCGTGTCAGAGACGCATTAAGGGTTGTTGGCATGTTTTTAATTTTTACTTAACAGTTTAACATTATAAGCAAGTTAACCAAAATGTATTTGTAAAAAAAGCTATTCTCAATCATCATAATATCAGCCGTTAAATGTTCATTGCTAAACATAAGCCTTCCCCATAAGGGGAGTTTTGCAAGTAGTTGACATGACTGGCAGGCGGATTTGGCAACTAAAGTTTAAGTTTTTAGTGATGTTGTAAGACGGAAGCTGCTGAATTAACTGTCTGCTGGAGAACGTCTCCAGCAGACAGTTAAAAGGGAAAGAGAGAGATTTTTTCCGTTAATATTTCTTTTTTAAAAAACATGTAGTTCCTATGGCATATTACTGGTTTCATTTTTACCTATTTAATATTTTATAGGAATCGAAATTTTTCGCATTAACAAAAAGAAAACGGAATAAAAAGTATTTTACTCGCATTTTAAAACGTTTCTATTCCCAGGCGGCGACATTACAGACAAATTGGGCTCGATTTGTCTTTCCGACCGTTTCATGCATAGTTACACGCACAGCCGTCACCGGGTATAGCCGGGCAAAGTTCAAGGGCCGTCTGCGGCGTGTCTACGCGTATTCCCAGCCGGGTATAACAGGGTGTATTTCACCCGGACTTGGCATCCGGATTTACAGAGCACGTACGTTGTAAGAAAGCCCTGCAAGTTCACACATCGGTTTAACGGTGTTTTTATTCTTGTAGAACTAGATCTATTAGATTTTTATAATAAAATACAATTACGGCGAACACGGGAGAAATAAAGAAATTCTGTTGCAATGCATATGTAATATGTACCTATCTATATACTAATGACATAAAGAGGAAAGATTTGAACTCTTGTATGTTTGTATATTAGTAACTCCAAAACCACCCAACCGATTTAAAAAAAAAAAACTCTTTCACATATAGAAAGCTACATTATCGGTGAGCAACAATAGACTATATATTATTTTCGAAAATTTTATTTACTCGTGCGATGTCGGGTCGGATCACTAAGGTTATAAAAGGAGAAGCTGACAGACGAAAATGCTGGGTTTAGATAGGTTTTATGCGTTTTGCATAAATCCATTATAATCTAACATGTTGCATACATGTTAGATTACAAGTAATTTCTACAAAACGACCTAAGATTGAACCATCTGATAGAAAGTGTAACGCGTGATGACATCAAAAACCACAGATAATACATAATCTATATATTAATACGTGAAGCAAAAATTTACATGTAATTTTAAAAAAACTCGCTTGCTTCTCGAACTATGCATATCTTCACGTCTCTTAAATTAAAAAAATACAACATTTGTTTTTTCTTATATAATTGCAAATTTGTATACCTCGATATATGGGGTTAATCATAGAGGACTTATCTTGTTTTACCATCCATTGTTACCTACGTATCACAATTTAAATAAATAAATAAATAAAACATAACAAAAACAATATACTGAATTAGAGATGAAGTATGATGACGTGTATGAGAGAAAACCAGTTTTATTGGTCAATGTAATAGTTTGGAGAAGAGAGTATTTATTATTTGTGTGTTTTGCCATTTCTACTATCGATCAGCTGGGCTTTGTTATTGTAATGTGAAAATATCCGAGACATCTGGTGAAAGAATATCGGAATTAGATTAAACGGAAATCCCCTAAGTGCTACGTCAGTGAGTAGGTACTATATCTAACTTTGAGGATCGAGTAAGCCGATGTCTACATTAAGGTAAATGTCCCTGTTGTGGGCGCGTGACTGCGTCAAGTTCAAGGACGGGATTCACAGGAGTGGGATATCTTACGGTTGTCTGATCTCGATCCCCTGGCCCGCCGGGAAATATGAGGCGGACGCCGGCGGGAAATGAATGAAGTCATTTGGTTCTGTTTGTAAACAAGATAGGAGTGCGCCCTTTGACTGTTACGCATTTAGGGTTGGGATGAGAGTAAGGTTTTATAGACATTGATGGATTTAATTTGTTTCTGTCATTTAAACATGGCAGATTAAAGAATTTTAATAACAATAATTACATTAAATTAAGAGAACACTTGTTATAATTTTAATCAGCAATAAATTAGTCCATTCCTAATCAACAGTTTTTTTCTGATTAGAAGCATCCTTATTTACAAGAAATTTGTAGTGTAAAAGAGTGAAATAGAAAACTAAGATTGAAAAACAGTAATATCCCAATCTTCCTCATAGACGTACATTTTTCATGTAAATGTACAGTGTAAACTAGATAATTTCTTCCGAGACCACTTACAGAACATGAATGGAATAAATTGTCGTAGAATCAGATGTCATACGGCGAATGCGTGACTGCGGCCACGCCGCGCCGTCTACCAGCGCCGACAGCATTCACGCTATTATAGGAAACCTGTTATTTGTAAACGTATGAGTACTATCTCGATATAAACACGTAACGAATAATCGTAATGTTCACATGATCACTTTTTTGTATACATTTGAAGCAATTTTAGGTACTTTCGCCCTATTTTTTTGTGATTTAATGAGAGTAATTTGAGCCAGTTATTTCTGGTGCCATTGAATTCTGCCAAATACATTAAATTAACTGTCAAATATGTCGGTATGCAGATAATAATAAAATTATTCACAACCACAAACCGGTTTTCGATCAGACG